GCCATCCGCTCGGCGCACTCCTTTGCGCGCGCGACCCCGGCCGACGCGCCTGTAACAACGCGCCCACGTGCCACGCCATGCGGCGTGGATCCGCACGACTGCACGCCCCTTTTCAGACCGCGCACATTCCTAAGCCCTGGCGCGCCTCCTCCCGAGACCCCTGCACCCACGGCGCGCCGCACCACCGGCTGCGGAAGCGGCGGCGCCACCGCCGCCGCTGCAGGGCCACTCGCGGCGGCGGCCGCGACCGACGCGGAACTCCCCGCGCCCGGCCCCGCGCCCCAAGGCTTGCCCTTGGGGTCGTCGAAGAAGGCCGCCTTCCAGCGCTCCTCGACCGCCATCTTGTCAAAGGTCTTGACTCGCACCACCCCAGCTGCCGCCATCGCCATCAAGCTGCTGATCCGCGCGCGGCACCCGACGTGGATGCCCTTGACCATCTCGGGCGCAAAGCAAGACCTCGGCTCCTCCCGCGCCAACCAGGCGTGGATGCGCTCCCCGAACTCAATCAGGGTCTTGTTCCAGCGCCCCCCGGTTCTCCTCTGCTCGGCCGCCCGGCCGTCGTCGCCCACCCTGCGCCGCGACAGGAAGGCAGCAGCGCGCCTCGGAAGTCCAAACGTCACGTGTCCGAGGCAAGCGTTTTGGGATCCTTTCCTCCAGCGCCTCCTCCAACGACCCCATCGTCTGCTTCACCTCCCAAGTAGCTGCTTCGGCCTCTCCGTTGGCCTGGCAGTCGCCGACAGGGCTCTCCCGCGGCACCATCTCCACTCGAGGCAGCGCATTACTAGCGGCGGCCTTCAGCGCCACCAGGCCCGCCTCCTCGTCTGACTTGGACACGCACCGTTTCCATCCAAGCTCTTTGACGCACCCAACAAAGAGTCTGACCGCTTGGGGCTAGACTCCCTTGCTCGGGATTGCAGTCGCCATGAGATGTTTCGTCGATATGCCTCTCATGACAGGCATAAGCATTGTGGCGCCCTCGCCCCCGTCATCACTCATGTATGCGTAGTCTGTAGAAAGGATAGGCTCTGCGCCTTCGGGCATCCCCTGGGCCCGGCGCTGCTCTCCAATGCCTCGCGCTACCTGGCAATGCCGACACCACGATCGAAACTGCGCGTGCCCCATCGCGGAGTGGCCCTCGACCTCCCGCCGCGTCGGTGAGCGCGCAGGTGACCTATGGCGCTGCTCATGCTGCTCGTCCGCCACCTCGTCGTCTGGCACGCCCGGTGCCCAAGCCGCCTCTGCGGCCGGAACCTCGGCGGGCGCGGGGCAGCACGCCCCTGCAGAGGCTCCTTCCAGCGGGCTTACAGACGAAGGCCCGGCCGCCCGATGCCCAGCTGCGGGGCTGCCCCCCGCTTGCCTGGGTCCTCGAGTCCAGCGACCTCTGCCTGGTCATCTACGCGCATGTTGAAGATACACACGCCTTTCTCCTCGTACACCGGCAGGAGTGTCTCGTGGCCGTATTCCCGCACCAGCCTGTTTAGCTCCTGCTTGAGCTTCCTGCCGCTGATGCCGCTGCGAGGGCTGACGTGCCCCCCGCCTTTTTGCAGCACGAGCAGCTGCCGTGACGTGGGAAGCGGAGGCCGGAACCTTGTGCACGTCTGTGAGCCTACCCGTGATGTTCCGCACCATCGAGTTCTGGTCGGTGCACCGCCGCTTCACGCCGCCGTAGTCGGGAATCCTCTCCCCGCTCGCCGTCAGGTACCCCTATGGTTCCTGCTTTCGGTCTTGGCAGCGCTTCGGCTTCGCGCGGGGCGACGTCCAGCCGCCCACCGGGCCTGGCGTAATTCTGCCCCTCCTTCTCCTCGTGGGTCCAGGCGATCGCGCCTCCCGCGCTCGCGCCCTGGCTGCTCCTCGCGCGCCGGTCGCGGAACGCTCCCCGACCCCCTCCCCGCTCGAGTCGCGGCCTCCCGCAGGGGCGGGGCCGGGGGGAGGAGGAGGAGGAGGAGGAGGAGGAGGAGGAGGAGGAGGAGGAGGAGGAGAGGAGGAGGAGGAGGAGGAGGAGGAGGAGGGAGGAGGAGGAAGAGGAGGAGGAGGAGGAGGAGGAGGAGGAGGAGGAGGAGAGGAGGAGGAGGAGAGAGAGGAGGAGGAGAGGAGAGGAGGAGGAGGAGGAGGAGAGGGGGGAGAGGAGGAGTAGGAGGAGGAGGGAGGGAGGAGGAGGAGGAGAGGAGGAGGAGAGGAGGAGGAGGAGGAGGAGGAGAAGGAGGAGGGGAGGAGGAGGAGGAGGAGGAGGAGGAGGAGGAGGAGGAGGAGGAGGAGGAGAGAGGAGGAAGAGGAGGGAGGAGGAGGAGGAGGAGGAGGAGGAGGAGGAAGGAGGAGGAGGAGGAGGAGGAAGGAGGATGGAGGAGGAGGAGGAGAGGTAGGGGAGGAGGAGGAGGAGGGAGGAGGAGGAGGCAGGAGGGAGGTGATGGAGGAGGAGGAGGAGGAGGGAGGAGGAGGAGGAGGAGGAGGAGGAGGAGGAGGAGGAGAGGAGGAGGGAGGAGGGAACGAGGAGAGGAGGAGGAGGAGGAGGAGGAGGAGGAGAGGAGGAGGAGAGGGAGGAGGAGGAGGAGGAGGAGAGGAAGGAGGAGGAGGAGGAGGAGGAGGAGGAGGAGGAGGAGGAGGAGGAGGAGGGGGGGGGAAAACACGGGGCAACGGGCGCCGACGCGCCCGTTCCGAGAAAGCCCGAAGCAACTGCACGAACAAGCACCGGGAATATAAAGTGTTGAGATCCCGCGTCGAAAAAAAACACTACTGGCGGAGGGGGCGGGCGACTCCTCGGCCATCTTCGGGACGAGAGGAGTGCTACATTCATAACAAGCGAGCGCTGCACAGCGGCTCACAACATGTCATTCCATGGCACGCCACTGAATACAGTAGGGGCTCGACCACAAGAAACCTTCCACAAGAAACCCAACCCTGAGACCCCAGGACGTCCATTGCAGTTGCTTTCTAAACGTCACGTCACGCTCTCCATAGCAAAACCATCGAAACCTAAGAAACCCAAAGCACCCTGGAGGCAAGCAGGGTGTGTCTTGGCATGGGTTTCTGCTGTAGCCCGGCGCTACACTCCACGACATTGCAGAGCATACTGGTATGTAACATGCCTGCATGAACGGTGCAGCTGGACAAGCATGCTGGAGAACCGACAATTTGGAGATGAGGCCAGCGCTGCATCGGGAGCACCGTTCGGAAGGACCGAACACGCATAGATGAGGCCCGCGCTGCAGCGGGAGCACCATTCGAAAGGACCAACAATTTAGAAACAAGACCAAAGCTGCAGCGGGACCACCATTCAGAAGGACCGAATACGCGGACATGTAACCAACGCTACAGCGGGAACTTGTTTTTTAAGGACAAGAAGGACGGAAAAGAGGCCAGCGCCAGAGCGGGAGCACCACTTCGACGGACCGAAAAATACTCGATGCGAAGATCCCCATGTGTGCATCGCAGTTCCTGGCGCTCCCGTCTGTGAGTGTCTCAGGAAAGAACTTCAGGATGTCGCAGACGGTTGCAGGGCGAACCGCCTGAGGCACACCCCCCATCTGGGCGCAAGCGGGCAAATGCCTTACCCCGTGGCGGGTCCTCCCTGAGGTGCTCCGATGCAACGCCCGCTTAGGGGCGACGAAGATGGGGCTCTGAAAAAAGAAGTCCGATCAACCAAACAGGCCAACCGCCTAAGACATCCCCACACCCTGGGCGCTAACGGACAAATGACTCCACCCCTGGCGGTTCCTCCTTGGGATGCTCAAGCGCCACGATGCCACATCGCGATGATCATGGGGCTGTGAGAATATAGGAATCGGATCAACCAAACATGCAAACTGTCTGAGACATACCCACAATCTGGCTGCGAACGGCAAATGTCCCCACCCCTGGCGGTTTCCTCCTTTAGGTGCTCGAATGCCACGCATACTACATCGCGAAAAGCATTGGGCTCAGACTGGGGTTCTGAGAAAGAATATCGCGATGAGCACTGTACCGCCAGAAGAGACACGCTTGCGGGGCCGAAACAGGCAAACTGCGTGAGACGCCCTACAGTCTGGGCAGGAATCCTGGAGTGCCCCAACTCCTGGCGGCTCCCAACTGAGAAGCCTAAGTGGCACGCCGCTGTAGCGCGGTGAGCATTGGACCACCAAAAGAAACAAGTCAGACATTCTGATGCTGACGCAGCGGTTCGAGGCAAAATGATTTGAGCCAAAATTGAAGAGGGGGATGAGGAGGGGGAGGAATGCAGGAGGAGGAACAGGGCGTCTCGAGAAAGGCAGAGGGAGGCAAAGGAAAGCCAGAATAGGCGGGGAAGGGCACGAGAACGGAAGAAGAGAGCGAACAGGGGGAGAGACAAAGACTGAAGTGGGAGGAGAGAACGCAGAGGAGGGAGGAGAGAGGAGGAAGGAATCAGGAGGGCTGAGGGACGAGGAAGGGGGAGGGGAAGGAGAAAGAGTAGGACAAGAGGGAGCGCAAGAGGAGGGAGAAGGGAGGGGCGGGGGGAAGAGGGAGGAGGAAAGGGTCATCAGCGCCCTGAGAGCCTAGTCTCCTCAATGTCCGCCTCCTCCTCCTCATCTGCCTCCGCCTTCTCATCCTCACCATCCTGAACAAATGCCGCTCTTCGGCAGACCACTCCACTGGGGACGATACTCCAAATGTGTAAGCACGGCGTGCATGAACTAACTGCTTCACCTGTACACACTTCGCAAAAAAACTACACACATAACTCACGACCAAAAAAACAAAAAAAACAATCCGTGTCCGCGGCCTCGCAAGCCGGCCCCCGAGCCGCGGCCCAGCGGATACGAGGCGTTTGGTTCGCGGATGCCCCGCGCTGCTAATACCACTGCGACCCCCTATCCGCAGGATCGCGCCTCGGAATCCAGTCTGCGAGGGTACGCTGGCCACTCGTGAATCAGAACAACTTTATGCATCAGAGAGTGAGGTCACAAGTGCGGAATGCGAAGAGGGGTGCAGTGAGCACGGCGCCGCACTGCGCCGAGGGAGCCGGCGGGAAACACCCGCGAGCGGCGCGCCTGGTCGGCGCCCTCGGGCAGCGGCATCAGCATGTTGTCCAGCGTGCGCTGGCCGACCTCGGGGCAACACGTTCACCCCCCCCTCGCCCTCCTCATCCTCCAACTCCAGCACCAGTCCCGGTTCCAGTTGAGCCCGTTGGACAAGTGGAACGCAGCCACAGTCTCCCGCGTTACAAGAAATAGAGCAAAAGAAAAGAAGGGAATCCTCACCTGAATGCTGCGCCCGAACACAGCCCTCGAACCGGATCCTTGCCCGCGGGGGGCGAAGCAAGGGCCTTCTCAACCCCCGAATTCCGAGGGTGCTCAGGACACCTGAACGTCACAGAAACGGGAGCGGACAGAACCGAACGCCGCGCGTTTCCGACACCACACCACTCTTCCAGATGGACCCGAGCCCTTTCAGAGAGCATGCGCTGGGTGAGCATAGACGGCGACCACGGGGACCCCTGGGCAGAAGGCGGCAATGCTCCCTTCCGGCTCTCGCTATACAGATCGTGTGTCCGTTGGGGTCGGCAACTGATTCAAGTTGGGGGGGTCTCTCAACGGGGCCTCGAGGGCTGGCTGTGCCTGTGCACCGCCCCACGTCCCTCGGGCCCCCGCGCGATAATCCCCCTAACAGTAGGCCAAGAAGCTGACCCACTTCCACGACGCCTGCGCCCTCGCTCGGGCTGAGCCTGCGACTGTGTGCCCTCCTTCGCAGGGCGGTCGGCCTCCTCGTTGCCCCGCCAAGCGTACAAGGGGAAGCACCTGTTCCAGTTCCAATTCCAAATCCTCATTTTCCTCCTCCTCCTCCTCCTCCTCCTCCTCCTCAACCTGGTATGCCCCCTGCCGGCCCCAGCGAGAGGGCAAGGCTGTTGCACAGTCAATCGCAGAGGGGTTTTGGCAGAAGTGCGCAAGACACAAGCGTAGGTGTTTTGACGTTGCACCCCCTTATGCGGATGTCCTTGTCCTTGTCCTCCCCCTCCTCCTCCTCCTCCTCCCCCTGCTCCCCAGGATGTCCTTGTCCTTGTCACCGACCATCCCTCCTCCTCCTCCTCCCCCCTGCCAGTCCTCCAGCCTCCTCCTCCTCCTCCTCCTCCTCCTCCTCCTCCTCCTCCTCCTCCTCCTCCTCCTCCTCCTCCTCCCCCTCCTCCTCCACCTCCTCCTCCTCCTCCCCCAGTCGGGAGGGGGGGGACAAGAGCAGCAGCCGCAGCGCCAGGGGTGAGGTGCATCCGCTGGAGGCGCGGGGGGCTGCATGGCATATGAGCGCCTGGCCGCCGAGTGGGGTGACCATTGGAAAGGACTATGAGAGCGCACGTCGGCGATTATCACCGAACCCGTCTCTCGCCATCCGCCTTCGTCACAGGTTCACTGTGCCCCTTTCGCCAGGACCAGCCTGCGGACTCCGCAAGCCTCCTGGAACATGTGCAAGGAGTCGGTCGATCGAGCAGCATGGGCCAGTTCGTCCCTTCAACAGTCAGTGGTCGAAATGACTGAATATATTGCTGAAGCAAAAGGCATCAAGGCTGCCCATCGTGCTGTATGCGTGCGTGATGGGTTCGCCCCCCGCCATGCAGTCAAGGTTGCCACCGCTCCCTGTCGGCTTCTTGTCGGCCCTCGGAAACATGCACAACATGTAAACTCCTACGGTGGCCGTAGAGGTTGCCGCCCAATTACATGCGACCTGCCTCTATTGTGACTGTATGTTGCCACTCCAACTCTGCCCTGCACGCATGAACCTGCGGATGGCCCCATGATGAGCGCCCGTTTCTGCGAGGGGGCGAGAATCCCTCGTATGGTCAGTGTGGCTCACGGCCCCTCCCAAGATTCGACGCTTCACTCCTCGAGAGTGACTGAAAGGCTGTGGCAGCTTCTTACTGGTGCGATCAGTTGTGGAACGCGTCTCGAGACCGTTCGCGTCGGTTTCGGCCGCGGCCGCCCCGAGCTCCAGCCCACTCGCCGTGGGCAACGATGCGGGAGGTGCGGCATAGAAAGGGGGGGAACATTGGCCTGGGATCGGCGATGCATCGCCGATGGATCGGCGACGGGCCCCCGACAGCCTTCAGTCGGGCACGTCCCCCCACAGGGGGATTTTGAACGAAAAATCCGCCGACCCTGTCGGCGTGTGTGAGGGGCTTTTCCGTTCGAGCCGTCATCTCCGTTATTCTTTGTACTCGTCGTCTCTGTCCTGCGCCCCAGCCGCCCGAGCCGCGCCCGAGCCGCTCGAGCCAAGCCGACCTTGAGCAACGTCGTAATTCAGTCGAAGGGAAGCCCCTTCCCTTTGATCCCTCCCCCGCCGGGGGAGGGGGGGGGGTAGCGACCCCCCCCCCGGGTCAGATACGACGCCCCCCCCCCCGTACCGACCTTGAGCAACGTCGTAATTCAGTCGAAGGGAAGCCCCTTCCCTTTGATCCCTCCCCCGCCGGGAGGGGGGGGGGGTAGCGGGGGGGGGAGCGACCCCCCCCCGGGTCAGATACGACGCCCCCCCCCGTACCGACCTTGAGCAACGTCGTAATTGAGTCGAAGGGAAGCCCCTTCCCTTTCCCTTCCCCGACGGGGGGGGGAGGGGGGGTCCCGGGGGGGGTCCCAGGGGAGTCCCGGGGAAGTCCCGGGTCAGATACGACACCTCCCTCCCCCACCTTCTCGTCCTTCTCCCCGTTCCCCAAAACCATCCCACAGCCCGTGCCTCTTGCTGCGCATTGCGAACAGGGTCGGCGGCACCGGCCGTAAGGCCTTCGCAATCAAAAATACTCTAAAAATACCCCCAAATGGGTAGAAATTATGTATATGTGGAAAAAATTAAAGTCGAAAAAAAACGTCCCCAGACTAGTTCTTTTACTATGTTTGAGTATTCCTCCAGTAGAGGGACACGCCCGACTCAACGATGGCCAATCCCCGCGCTCCCGGGCGGGGCGAGGCCATGGGGCCCCCCCATCGGCGATCGACGGGCGATCGGGGGTCGACGCGCCGCCCATGCCCAGAAACTCTTTTGAATTGGCCCTGGGACGCACAAATAAATACACACAAGTGACAGGATTCCCCATATTTTCTCATATCGATTCTGGGTTTTTTGTCTTCCCACCCACTTCCCATAGTTTCCCATATTTTCCTGGGAATCGACGACTGACTACCTGTGTCTCCCTCCTGAACTCTTTGCCTGCCTCCAGGGTACCCTAGACTTCTTGGGCTTCGATGGTTTTGCCATCGAAAAGCGCGACGCTCCCGCGCCAGAAATCCACGGGCGCCCTGGGGTCTCGGGGTTGGGTTTCTCGCGGCAGGTTTCTTGCGGCCGAGCCCCCACCGCGCCCCCCCCCCCACGTTGCCCCTGACCAGCTCCCACACGCGAGCAGTGGTCGACGCCAGCTGTTCGGGCCCGAGCTCCTTCGCGAGCCTGCGCTACACCACCAGGAGCCCCTCGCCCACGGGGGCGGGGCGCTGCACTTTTTGCTCGCGCCCTGCCCTCCGGGAGCAGCACGAACACGTGGCGCGGCTGCCCCGACGCGCCAGCCAACTCCAGGCCCCGCGCATTCTCGGCGGCCAGAGCGGGGGGGAACAAGAAGGGGAAAGCCTTCTCAGAAGGCGGCGGGGCTTCTCGGAAGCCCCCTGGCCTTCTGAGAGGTTTGTCGTAACTTGTGGGGTGGTTCAGGAAACTTCTCTGGAGGCCAGAGGACTTCCAAGCCTGCTCGCCCCCTCTCGCCAGAGGCCAGACAGAGGCCCGCCCCCTCTCGCTTGCCCCCGACACGCAGTGCGTCATCGGTGGCGGCGCCCTCGCTTTTCCGACCGACGGCGGCCATCTCCCGGCGCGCGCCGCGGTCCAGGGTCGCGTGTCGCGCGATCCACTCGATGGCCCACGCGCGCCGCGGCGCCGCGCAGCCTCGCGCCGACCAGGCTCCGCTTCCGAAGCTCGGGCCGCGCTGCTGCGGCGGCCCCCACGGCCGCGAGCTGCCGCGGCGCTTGCCGGAGGTGCCGCGGCCTGTGGCCACGCTGCCGTTCCGTCGGCTCCCCTCGGGCCTCGGGCGCCCGACCGCGCCCGTCGGCCAGCTCGGCCCGCGTCGCCGCGCCACGCGGCGCGGCGACCTCGTGGAGCGCTCTCGGGGCCTCTCGGGGCCCTCCTGGGCCGGCTGGGGAACATCTGTGGGCACCCTGGAGCGCCCGTGGCCTCGGCGATGCGAGTGTGGCGCAGCTTACGAGGGCGGAGCGTCGGGGCCGCGAAGTCCCCCGCCGCCGCCGCCGCTGGCGCCCGCGGCGGCGCCTGGGCCCGTGCCTGGCCGCCACGCCTGCAGGCTGGGAAGTTTCGACTTCTTGCCCGGCAGGCTCGCGAAGCCATGGCCCACGCGATCGACGCACGTAAAGGCGCCCAGGAGCACACAAAGAAATACGCACAAATCCCAGGATTCCCCCGTTTTTCCCCCTACGTTTTCAAAAAAGGTGTTCGTCTTCCCCCCCCAACTTCCCATATTTCCCCACATCTTCCTGGGAGTCCACGATTCCTTGCGTTTGTATGTTGCTTCCCCCCCTGAGCACTCCTGCACCCCTCGGCCCATGACCGAGCGGCCCTGCACGCTGACCACGCCCAGTGGTCAGGCGCTTTCGAGCTCGCGGCGACACCGCCGCGCACCGATCGAGAGCTCCCGACAGTCGATATGAGTAGGAGGAGCAGGAGGAGCAGGAGGAGCAGGAGGAGGAGGAGGAGGAGGAGGAGGAGGATCGTGGCCGAGGATGCTTTCGACGATCAAGTGGGCCTCGTCCGCGGGAGCCTGCGCGCGTCGCCGCGCCGCCGGCGCCCTTGAGGCCGCCCCAGCTGTCCGCGGGGGCCTTCCTTGGTCTCCTTGGACTTCACCGTGGCGGCGGCTCCCGCCGCCAGGGGGGGCCTCGGCCTGCAATGGATGAGTCGGGCCTGTCCCACTACAGGAGGAATATTCAAAACTAGTCTCACACACAAAAAAAAATATGGGGACGATGTGATTACTATTTGTGGCTATTCTTGAATATGTTTTACTGTTTTCTATTCTTCGTCCAAGACCCGCCTGTAGGAGGACACGCCCGACCTGATGCAAGGGGGGTGGGAGCCCAGGCGGGGTCAACGCCCAGGCGGGCTGCTGGCTGCTCACCCTTCCTGAGTATCGTTTAACCGATCCCCATCCCCAGCGGCGTGGCCTGGGACCCACTGGCCGCTTTACCCCCCTAGACGGGGATGTAGGCCGTATCCTTCGGGTTTCGAAGGGTGTATCCGCAACTGGGGGTGTGATTTGGTGGGGGGTCTCGAAGGGATGGGGATGGGGATGGGGGTCGGTTAAACGATACTGACTTCCGCTGGCCCGGAGTCCCCAAGCCGCTGGGGTGGCCCGTCCGCGGGACTGGAACGTCCCGACCCAGCTGGAGCGCGCCTCCGACGCTCCGCCCGCGGATCCGGCCACGGGCTCCACCAGCATGCGCGGCACTCGCGCGCAGGGCGCGCGATGCAGCCATCCTGTGGATCAAGAGAGAACTGCGGACGCACTCCGGGCTTGGGCGCGCAACTGGTGCACATGTTTGAGCTCCGGGCCATGGAAAGCGAGGACGTCTAAAGCGGGAAGTCCAGTTCGAACAGGAGCCGCCATCCACCCGTGTGAGTGCTGCGTGCTGTTGAAGCGAACGTGCGCGGCGCCAAAGCAGAACTCACGTTGAAAACCGTAGATGCAAGGTTGGGTGTTTCAGGCAGGCGTGCGCTGCGCCAGGGCGACAGAGAGATTTTGAAAACCACTTGTGCTCCAACCGTCCAGCTCTTGGAAGCGGTTAGTTGCAAGGGGATAGGCGGTGGGGGGTCGCAGGCGAAACGCTTAGTTAACCCTAACTGGTGCGATCGGGGGGGGGGAACATCGGACTCGCGGACGCTGCAGGACGGAGGATGGAGGAGGATGAAGAATGGAGGATGGAGGATCGAGGATGGAGGATGGAAGATGGAAGATGAAGGATGGAGGATGAAGGAGGATCGCACTTCGCGACAATGTTGCTCTGCTGCCACAGGCGCGAGGGGGCAAACGGGGGGAGGGCGCCTGGCCCAGGTAGCGCACGCCGTCCCGCATGACCGTGGGCAGCTGACGGGCGCCGCCTGGGCATTGCCGATGCATTGGTGATGTATCGACGATGTGGCGAGATCCTACGACCCCGTCCACCCTGACACCATCTGGAAGGCATCTAAGCACTCGTCCTGGGGATCATCGAAAGGTGAAACCGAAAGGTATCAACACCGCTACTCCCCGGACCTCTTCCGGTGCGTTCTGACCAGGACTTCGAGGCGAATCCAGCGGTGGCGACGAGGGCCTCCGAGGAGACTCAAAAAAGGAAAACGAGAGAAAGGTAGAGGTGTGGGTACCTTTTCCTCCTCTGACCATCTGGAAGGCATCTGGGCACTCGTCCTGGGGAGCCTCGAAGCTCTGCGTGGCAGGGCTGCGGGCGCTGGCCCCCAGGTGAGCTGCAGGAAGCCACGCCGCCACTGCTCCCCCTCGGGGGGGCCCGCGCTCACTCGGAGGCCGCCCTGCACCCGGGGGGGCAGAAAGAGCCTCCTCCTCCTCCTCCTCCTCCTCCTCCTCCTCCTCCTCGCTCCTCCTCCTCCTCCTCCTCCTCTCTCCTCCTCCCTCCTCCTCCCTCCTCCTCCTCCCTCCTCCTGCTCCTCCTCCTCCTCCTCCTCCTCCTCCCTCCTCCTCCTCCTCCCTCTGCTCCTGCTCCTCCTCCTCTTCCTCCTCCTCCTCCTCATCCTCATCCTCCTCCTCCTCCTCTCTCCGCCTCCGCCTCCCACCTCCTCCTCGGGGGGGGGGGGAGGGGGGCGAGCGGCCGCCACTCGCGGCCGCGCTCTCGCAAGGGGGGTGGGGGGGGAAGAGAAGGGAGCGAGGAATGCAGGAGGGAGGCGAGAGGGAGGCGAGAGCGAGAGGGAGGCGGGAGGTAGGGAGCGGGGAGGCGAGAGGGAGACGAGAGGGAGGCGGGAGGGAGGGAGCGGGGAGGAGAGAGGGGGGCGGGAGGGAGATGGGAGGTGGGTGGGAGGGAGGGAGGGAGGGAGCGGGGAGGCGAGAGGGAGGCGGGGGGGAGGCGAGAGGGAGGCAAGAGGAAGGCGAGAGGGAGGCGGGAGGGAGGCGGGAGGGAGGCTGCATCGGTGAGTCCCACCCCGTAGCGTCCGTTGCGGGGAGGAGGTGGGGGGAGGGCCTGCGAGCGCGACAGCATGCCCGTGGACATGAAAGCATGCCTGTCAGCACCACCGCATGTCTGTGAGCACCGCGCCATACCTGTGGGGGAACTGACACAATCCCGCGTACGTTCGGTACCGTTGTGGGAAAGGGGAGGGGATCCCCAGTAACGGACGTTACGGGCTCTCCGAATAAGAAAGCCAAGCTCAGGGGGGAAGGGATGGGAATGGGAGGGGGATCTGGGAAGGAGGGAGGGAGGGAAAGAGAGGGCGGGGGAGGGAGGACCTCGTGAGGTGGACTCGAAGGGCTCCGCGGAAGGCGAGCCTCCACTCGGGGTGGCTGGACGGAAGGGGAGAGGAGCCAGCGAAGGGCGGGGTAGCGGATCCGCTGCATGCAGCTGGTTTTCCTGGCGCAGGCACCCAAGCGACCGTGCATCGAGGAATGGGCCTGACGGCGGGGCCGAAACCAGTTGCACGTACGACGCAGCAGTTTCAGTACCCCACTCTTCACACACACAGGCACACACACAAACACACACACACACACACATTTCGTCCACAACGGCCCACGGAAACTCACACGCCCTCAGATTATTCTGTTCAGCGATCTGGCCCCTCAGCGTCACCATGGCGACTGGTGAGGCAAGGCTTACTGAACTGAAGGACTTCGGTGTGCTGGCACACCGAAGGCAAGAGATGGGAACTAGGGACTCGGAACTCGGAGGTCCGCGGAAAGATGCCAGAGGGCATCGCTGCCGGGGGAGTGCACTGCGCTGAAGACGCCGTGCAGACCAAAGACGCCCACATTGAGTGGACAGTGTGTGAGGAGAGAAAAAACAATTTATCGCCAGCACTGGATAGCTGGAAATCCAAAGCTGCCGTCGAAGTCCCTGCCACGACACCCCACCAATAGTGCGTTCGGAGGAGGAAGTGGAGGAGACAAGGAGAGAGGACTGATCCTTCGCCTCCTCCCTCCTCCTCTTCCTCCTTCTCCTCCTCCTCCTCCTCCTGCTCCGCCTCCGCCAAATCCTCCTCCCCCTCCTCCTGCTCGATACCTTCTCCTTGTACAGAACTCCTCCCTGCCGCACCCCCATTGCTGGTAGGGGCGGGCTGGACGTTTCGCCCGAGACTTCCATGCATGATCCTGAAGCTTGAGATGTTTCCGCAACAGCTTCATGGACGGAGGGCGGGCGGTTTTCAAAGTGTGGCTCTCTCGCCTCCGCGCTGCGCACGCTTGCAAACAGCTCCGATGGGCATAATGAGAGGGCGGCTCCTTCTCGAGGTGATGTGGCTCTCGCCTGCGTGCTGCGCACCTTAGCTTTTGAAAGCTTGCAACGGCTTCAAGGACTCGCACGGTCGAAGTACCAGGAACCGTGTTCTGCAACGATTTCGGATTGACAGGACGCAGCAGGAACGTTGATTCGCGGTGTTGACGTCCCAGAGATGATGTTCTGGCACGAGTTAAGAGCGTCAGGACTCAACAGTCACGCCGAGCTGCGGCGCTCAAGTTTCAGGAAAAGTGTTGAGGATTATGAAATGGTTGTCTTGTAATGGGCCACTTCGCGCGATGAACACAAATTCTGTTAGGGCCCTTTCGGCCCTGTGAAGAGGGAACTTGGAGGAAGGGTGTATTGCAACATCGCTGATGCGTCTTAGGTTTACACTGGTTCTCATCCTCATCCTCATCCTCATAATCATCCTCCTCATCCCGCCCGCCTGCCTGGCTCACCCGACGGTGTGACCGCTGCACCGCCCGCTCCCCAGACCCCGGACGTCATGATTTTTTCATTACGTCGACCCTTGGAGGTCTCGACCCATTCCCCTGGACCAGTCTTTCATCCTGAGCCGTTTTTTGACGGTCTCGAGGGCCGGCAAGGGCCCCCAGAGGCCGAGAATAGCAAAAAACCTCCCGCCGATATTTTTTCCATTACCCGAGGGGGGCTGGGTCTGGAGATCTCGGCGCGCGCCGACCCGCGGCCGGCCAGCTGGCCCGCGCGGGCCCTCGCTTCGGGCGGGCGCCGGGCCGGGCGGCCAAGGCGGCCTGCGAGCAGCCCGCGGCCGGCGGCGAGGCCCGCGGAGGAGGCCGCGGACTGCTGCGGCGGCAGGTTGTACGCCTGCCGCGGGCGCGGCCGGCCGGGCGCGGGCCGGGAGGACGTCGTCGTCGTCGCCGCCGCCGCCGTCGCTGGAGAGCGAGGGGGGGAGAGGAAGACCGCCGCCGTCAGCGTGGCGAGCCGCCAGGGTGACAGGCCAGCGACCGTGGCTCCCCAGCGACGCGCCGCCGCCGCCGCCAGCGTCGCTGGCTGTGGAGGGGGCGACGGAGAGGAAGGCTCCCTGTGCATCCTCGGCAGCATGGCTCGCACTCCGAGTTTTCGAGATGGTCCACCTATCCGAGGTTTGTCTGCGAATGCAGAACTCGCCGTTACACATGCCACCCGTAAGCCGTCCAAAGTCACGGGGGACAGGCCCGAAGCATGACATTTGAATATGGCGCGGTAGCTGGTGGTTTTCTCCATGGGCATGAGATGAAAAAACTCCAGAGACACCCCAGGCCCTCGCATCTGGGGAAGCACGCAGTAGTTGAAGGCGTGCCCAGGGCCAGCTGCAGCTGCAAGAGCCCCCTGGACTATCTAGCTACCTCTGGGGTCACCCTGACGAGCTGCATACGATACTGAAGCGCCACGCGGCAGTGCGAAGGAAAGAGACGGACCGTCGTCCGAAGGCCGAGGACGAGGGGGGGCAGGAGACAGACCCCCTCCCAGAACTCGATCAATACTTCTCTCCATGCCACCACGTCGTTAATGGGGCCCACCAAGAACCCTAGGCACGGAACGCGCGCCCCAAACTTGCTCTCCTGAATACTACCGCCCGCGGTTTTCATGCGAGCGGCAAGTCTGTCTTCCGCAACAGCCCCCCAGACCAAGTCGTCACATTCACCCATGTTCAGAGAGAGCCCGATGGCCGCTGCATCCCGCATAAGGGGGCGCAAACTCCCTCCCCCCGCCTTCCCACCCCACGGCGTCGGAGTGCCGGGCGTAGTCGCCGACCGGGAGGCCTTCCGCGGAGGCGGGGCGAGGGCCCCAGAGGCCGAGGGTGCCCGATCGCCCCCCCCTGGGGTCCTCCACAAGATGCGCTCCGCCCCACGCTTCTCCACGACGGGCCCCTCGCTTTCGGAGTCGACCTGCGCGCCCCCGGGCTCATCCACCTGCGGTCTGCGACGGCGAGGGCAGCAGAGGGCTCCGAGGGCGGCGACCCCGATGACGGCGAGGGCGAGCCGGAGGAGGGCTGGGGCGGCCGGGGCAGGGGACCCCAGAAGGAGCGCCAGCCGAAGCAGCCCCTCCCAAGGGCCGACGATATAGGGGGGGCCGTCCGTCTCTTGGGGCTTCGACCGATCGACGCCCGCGCAGCGGTAACTGCAAGCCGCCGCCCCTTGGGGGGTTTGGAGCCCCAGCCCCGACAGAGGAATGTGGCGCGCTCCGGGGCGTTCTCCTTGCAAGCGCCGCCTCGGGTCGGCAGAGGGGCAGTACGCCACTCTTCCATAGGGGAACAGCTGACCTGCCTTCCTGGCTACCGGGAGGGGCTGCCCCTCCGCCCTCGCCAGGCGGGCGAGGTCCCCGCGGATAGGGCAGAGGAGGTCCTTCGGGAGCGGGTGCGTGAGGACCCTCCACCCTTGGATCTTCGCCAAGTAAAACTCGTCGGTTGGGCGCCTCTCCACTCCACCTCAGGATCCTGGCAGGGTCGGGGGCCCCCTTCCCTGGCGCTGGGGGGCCCCCTCCCGGTCCAGGCCCAGACGGCGACCGGGGCGAGGCAAGTGCACGGCTGGTCGAGCAGGCGAAGGAGCAGGTAGCCCGGGGATATACCGTTGCCCCCAGGGTACTCCACCAGGCTTTCCCCAGCAGGGCGGCCAGGACGCCCCCGAAAGCGGTGAAACCTAGGTCCGTAGCCCGCCCCAACAAGGGGACGCGGATGGTTCCTCCAGAATCCCCTCCCCCATGGCGACTCGCCAGGTCCTTCCCGGCAGTAAACGTAGGCACCGCCCCGTCGCCGAGGAGCGCCGCTCCCGCAGCGGCGCCCGTGGTTGTCCCAGCAACTTGCGCCAGTCGCTGGCCTTGCGGGCGGGGGGGGCGCGGGGTCCCGCGCCTCCGCCCACCAGGGCGACCAAGAGCCCCCAGAAGGGGGCCCCCGTCATCAGGGTTCAGGGGCCCGCCGCGCGCGCGGGGCCCCCCCCCAGAAAAGCGCAGCTCCAGCCGAGAGGGCTACGGAGGAGGGAAAAGGAAGAGGCGCGTGCACGCCGGAAACGAGGGGGATCCAGCCGTGCAAGCAAGCGTAAACTAACCTTTGGGGGAGCGAGCCCGCCACTCAGGGACAGAGAAAACCAGGAACGAGAAAACGAACCAAAGCAAGAGAAAACGGGACCGCGAGCCAGGAGTCGAGAAAACGAGACAACGAGAAAACGAGAAAACGAACCAGGGCACGGAAAACGAGAACGCCACCCAAGGGCAGAAAAAAACGAGAAAACGATAAAAGCCAGAAAAAACGGAACCGCGCCCCAGGAGCAAAACGAGACAACGAGAAAACGAGCTAGGGCCGGGGAACACGAACCAGACCGCCACTCAGGGGCAGAGAAAACCTGAAAACGAGAAAACTAATCAACTGGACCGCGACCACGGAGCCGAGAAAACAAGACAACGAGAAAACGAACCAGGGTAGGAAAAAAACGAGACCGCCAGCCAGGGACAAAAAAACGAGAAAACGATAAAACATACCATTGCCGAAGAAAACTGGACCGCGACCCAGGGGCGGAGAAAAGCTGAAACCAAGAAAATGTACCAGGGTCGGGGAAAACGAGACCGCCACCCAGGGGCAAAGAAACGATACAACGAGAAAACTAACCAAAGCAGGACAAAACGTGACCGCGACCCACGAGCCGAGAAAACGAGACAACGAGCAAACGAACCAGGGTTGGAGAAAACGGGACCGACACCCAGGGACAAAGAAAACGAGACAACGATACAACGAACCAAAGCCAAAGAAAACTGGACCGCGCCCGATAGGCGGCGAAAACGAGGCAACGAGAAAACGAACCAGGGTCGGGTAAAGCGAGACCGCCACCCAAGGGCAGAGAAAACGAGAAAACGAGAAAACTAACAAAAGCTGGAGAAAACGGGACCGCCACCCAGGGGCGGAGAAAACGAGACAACGAGAAAACGAACCAGGGTCGGGACAAACGAGACCGACACCCAGGGGCAAAGAAAACGAAAACACGGTAACAAACATAAGCTGGAGAGACGGGACCGCTAACCAGGAGCCAAAGAAGCTGACCAGGGTCGGGGGAAACAAAACCGCCAGCCAGGGACAGCGAGAGAACGATGAAACTAACCAAAGTCGGAAAAAAACTGGACCGCGACCCAAGAGCCGAGAAAACGAGACAACGAGAAAAAAGACCGCCAGCCAGGGACAGAGAAAAGGAGAAAATGAGATAACTAACAGAAGCGAGAGCAAACGGGACTGCGACCCAGGAGCCGAGAAAACGAGACAACCAGAAAACAAAGCAAAATCAACGAAACCGCCACCCAGGGGCAGAAAAAAACGAGACAACGAGAAAACGAACCAAAGCTGGAGAAAACGAGACCACCATCCGGGGGCGGAGAAAACGAGACAACGAACCAGGGTCGGGGAAAACAAAACCGCCACCCAGGGGCAAAGAAAACAAAAAAATGATAAAACAAACAAAAGCCGGAGAAAACGTGACCGCCACCCAGGGGCGGAGAAAACGAAACAAAGGGAAAACGAACCAGGGTCGGGACAAACGAGACCGCCACCCAGGGGCGGAGAAAACGACAAAACGAAAAATAAACTAACGAAAGCCGGAGAAAACGGAACTGCGACCCAAGGGCAGAGAAAACGAGAAGACAAAAAAACTAACAGGGACCGCGACCCAGCAGCGGAGAAAACGAGACAACGAGAAAACGAACCAGGGTCGGGGATAACGAGAGCGCCACCCAGGGGCATAGAAAACGAAAAACCGGTAAAACGAACCAAAGCAAGAGAAAACGGAACTGCGACCTAGGGGTGGAGAACACGAGAAAACGAGAAAACTAACCAGGGCCAGGGAAAACGAGACCGCCACCTATGGGGCAGAGAAAACGAGAAAAAGATAAACTGACAAAGGCTGGAGAAAACGGGGCCGCGACCCAGGGGCGGTGAAAACGAGAAAACGAGAAAACAAACCAGCGTCAGGGAAAACGAGACCGCCACCCCCGGGCAATGAAAACGAGAAAACGAGAAAGTGAACAAGGGTCGGAGGCGCGACCCGAGCGCGCGGAAGATCAACTGTAAACCTGGCCCGCGCTGATTGGGCGTCAACTTGGGCGCGCTGGCGGGACGTGAAATGTGACAATCACTCTGTGGCGGGGCAAAGTTAGCGGGAAGATACACAAGAACCACTCAAGAGGCAAGCGGGCGGGACATTAAGTGAAACCATCACCACCGTCGTCGTCGTCGTCGTCGTCGTCGTCGTCGTCGTCGTCGTCGTCGTCGTCGTCGTCGTCGTCGTCGTGGTCGTGGTCGTCGTCGTGGTCGTCGTCGGCCCACTCTGCCTCCCGGGTTCGAACCCTCGGGGTGGGCTTCTCCCCCCACCCCCAGGTTCCGAACCTGGGGGGGAATGGACATTCGTCCCCCCCCGAAAGGGTTCCGAACCTGGGGGAAGTTACAAGCAATCATAGAAAGCGCTCTTCCATACATATGTCTGTATATACATATATATATATATACACATAACTATATCTGATGTATGTCTTTGTACGCACTCATAAATCGTAATGCATAGTTGGAAGGTGCAGTCATTATCCGCTGGAAAGATCCTGGCTGTGGAGCTGGGGCTTCTGTGGGATGGGAGCAGTGTGCGGGGCAGGGGGGGGGGAAATATGGGCCATAAAAAGGGCAGCATGGAAGCGGGGCCCCATCTTCGGAGCCGTATCGGGGGCCAGTCCCCGCAGGAGCTTTCAGCGCTCGCTGGACCGACCTGGTCTAGGGCCAGGGCAAATTTGCAGCAGTTTGGTTGCCTTCTGCGCAGCAAACCTGCCGCAGAGGGAGCACAAAACATGGGCAGGTCACTGCCTCCAATTCTCGCGGCATGGATGATGTGTCCTGGGCACCCTCCAATGAGCACAACCGTTCTTCGAGGCCAGGGCATTACATGGAAACGTGATCCTCGCAGGGTATACTCTAAGACAAACTCTATGTATGTAGGGCATGTCCGTCCCCGGCAGTCTGGTACTTTAGAGTAGTGGGGTTTTGCTGTCTAAATCGGGCTCGAGAGCTTGCCATGTACGTCTCCATGGAAGCTCTTATGGGAGAGCCAGCACTCTTCAAGAGTCGCCTGCTGATAGTCCTTGACCGTACTGCTTGGTAACCCTATCCCTTATTCGCCTCCTGCTCCTACACCTCCACCCCCCTTCCTCATGATTGTTCTATCGACTCGCCCGCTATGATCGGGATCCTGATGTAAAAACTTTCCACGATTGGGACGGGCGGCAGAGGCGCGGACGGTGTTCTGCTGCTCCTCCAGCTTGCACTTCGCTCACGCTACCTCCGTGGAGGAAACGCAAGCAGGGACTACGGTCAAAACTGAACGCGGAAACGTCGTGCCGATCTTAGTCACCGTCCACCTTGGTCAGCGTCAGATTCGTGGATAAGCCTTCGCGATATCGGCATCGGCCGGCACGGACCCTGACCAAAATCGGGGTCGACAAGATCCTGCGACATCTAGGTCATGGTCATCTCGGCTTTCGGGCCACAACTCGGGCCTCCAGCGGCCGTTCGGGTAGATCCAGGCACCCCCCTGGAGCGCCCTCTGCGAGGCGCAGCTGCTGGAGCGCATCCCGAGGCTGGAGAGCGTCGAGTCGACGAAAGCTGCAGAAGATCTCCAGCCTCGAAGCTGCCTTGGCCGGCGTGCTTCCCCTCGAGCCTCCGCGTTCCAACCCCGACCAGGAGGAGGAGGAGGAGGAGGAGGAGGAGACGAGGAGGAAGAGGAGGACGACGACGAGGAGGAGGAGGAGGAGGAGGACGACGACGACGACGACGGGGTCGCCGCCGCGGGGGCGCACCAGCCACCTGTGGCCCAGCACGAAGGACGGGCCTCGCGCGGCCGATCGCGCGCTGGCGGGCGGCAGGCCGCGGGCCTGCCCCGGCCACGGACCGCCGCCGGGAGAGGCAACCACATGCGAGCCCTACCCCTGCAGGAGGAGCAGGAGGAGGAGGAGGAGGAGGAGGAGGAGGAGGAGGGGGAGGAGGAGGGGAAGGAGGAGGAGGAGGAGGGGACAAGGACGACAAGGACGACAAGGAGGAGGAGGAGGAGGAGGAGGAGGAGGAGGAGAGGAGGAGGGGGGGGGGAGGAGGAGAGGAGGAGGGAGAGGAGGAGGAGGAGGACGACGACAAGGACGACAAGGACGACAAGGACGAGGAGGAGAGGAGGAGGGGAGGAGGAGGAGGAGGGAGGAGGGAGGAGAGGAGGAGGAGGAGGGGGGAGGAAGGGGAGGAGGAGGAGGAGGAGGAGGAGGAGGAGGGAGGAGGAGGAGGGAGAGGAGGAGGAGGAGGAGTGAGGGGGGAGGAGGAGGAGGAGGAGGAGGAAGAGGAGGAGGAGGACGAGGAGGAAGAGGAGGTCAGGTGCCTGACTGCCCCCGCAAGAACCCGAATGGCAGCAGAGCGCGGCCAGTAGAAGAAGAACAAAACGCCATAGACAACAAACTTTTGGCGCTCCGCGCGGGTTCTTATCGGATCCGCGCTGACCCCCCTCGGCGGTGGACAAACCTCCCTTTCGCAAACCTCCCCTTAGTGAAAACAACCTGGGACCGAAACCGACGGACCTGGACCCGCAAAAATAACGGCCGCGCCGCCCTCTCGCGAACCGAAAACGGCCAATCCCTTAATCGATGTATCAGGGTAGGAGGTCTATCCACCTCCGACCCCCTCCCTGGCGCGCGGAGCGCGCCAAAGGCGTCGCCAGAGGCGCCGCCGGGAGGGGGGGCCCGACGCGGATCCAAGAAATCCGCGCGGAGCGCCACAAGCTTAAGTTTGTGGCAGTTTTCTTCCTCGAGCCATGTGTCCCAGAATGGCTCTCGCTCTTACAAAGGAGCGTGGCCGTCAGGACCAAAACGGCAGCCGGCAGCGAGGCGAGAGCACGACTCCTGAACAACTTGCCAGAGGATCTCAAGCGAAATGGAGGTCCAGGAACGGCGTGTCCTCTGTGTGTTTTTTGGTGTTTACCTCCACTAAAATACTTTTTTACGTCGGCGGCCAGGCAGAGTAGTTGCGCTGGCGGAAGAGCAATCACAACGGTGATACCGTTGAAGCGTTGTGCCACAGCGCAGGGAATTGGGAGGAGACGGGGAGGACGGCCGAAGGAGGAGAGAGGGAGCGAGGGCCGCTCAGTGGGACGGGACCTCCACAAACACTCCCATCGTAAAACACTACCTGTGGGAAAAGACGGCTGGGGCCCGAACTTGAAGGATGTCTGCAGCCGGGTGAACCCCAGCGGGGGTGTCCGATGCCCCAGCGCCCATCGGGGCCCGTAGGGGTAGGGTTCGCAAGTGGTCGCAGACAGGAACCTCTCTCCCAAGTAGACGATCGGAATACAGAAACAAACATAGTGCAAACATAAACTTGTTGGAGCTCCGCGCTGGTCTCGCGGATCGGCGATCGGCCCCCCCGGCGTCGCCTCCGCGCGCCCAGGGAAGGGGGTCTGGCGCCGATGCAGGAAATCCGCGCGAGGCTCCGAGAGTTTGCTGTTACGCAGTGCTCCTCTTCGGCGTCAAATGTGTCCATGCACCCCCTCACGCCCCAACCCTGCGAGGAGCACAAATAACGGCATGAATAAAAAAGAGCCCAGAATTTGGAGCCACTGTTGTTTACCAATGGCATCCACTCCCCCCGCCGAGAGCGGAAGTAACAGCAGGTGCATGGGCCGAATGTCGATCATCGACCTAGACCCAAGTCCCACCAATCCTCCGGGCGTAAATGGTTTAGTGCGCTCACTCTTCCACCCCCCCCATTATTCCAACGCGTGAAGGAGTCGTTGCTTTACCACTGGTCCTCCTTGATGTAACCCCCTCCCCCACCCGACCGGCGACAAGGCCGGGACAGCGCGCCCCCACCATCCGTGTAAAAAAACAATGCGAAGTGCATGTTGCGCAAAAATCGTGAATCACATTCGGGGGCCCAGCGAACACCGTGTACACGTCGGTCGGACGAAGTAGGTAGAAACATGAAGTACGAAGGCGGATAAAGTGTATTGGGCCCAGGTCCTCTCAGATAATAACAAAACACTGCAAAAGCATGCCGATTCTTGAAGTAGGAAGGTGCTTGAAGTAGATTGGGATCTGGGAATCCAAAAATACCTACGTTCAACGACAGGCGTGCATTGTTTGTTTCAATGGGGAGGGACGGCGGGGGGTCCAGCACGTGGCCTGCCCTGCGCAGGGCCACCGTCCCTGTCAAGAGCTTTCCTGGCGAGAGCCCCAACCATAGGCAGCGGCGAGTATCGCAAGGCAGGCGGAACGGAAAGTGGGGCCACGAAACGTGCGAGGGATATGCCCGAATATCGGGGGTGGACCAACCTCCCTTTAGTAAACCTCCCTTCAGTGAAAACGGCCTGGGACCGAAACCTACGGACCTGGACCCGCAAAAATGACGGCCGCGCCGCCCTCTCGCGAAGCGAAAACGGCCATTTCCTCAATCGACGTGTCAGGGTAGGAGGTCTGTCCAACCCCGAGAATAGGCGCGGCGGCGCCACGCGGGCCTTCCCATTGGCATTCGGTGGAACTCCCGTCGGGGCAAATGGAGCTCCCCATGGGGCCACGAAGCGCGTGAAAATTGTTCCGACATTAGCGCGATGGCGCCATGCGAATCCTCCCACAGGGCCCTTCCGTAGAAGCCCCTTGGGCGCCACGAAACGTCTGAAGGGTGTGCATGCATGGGCGCGGTGGCATTATGGGAACCCTCCCGCCGGGGTTTCCGGTGGAACCCCGTATGGGGCCACAAAACACGTGAGGAGGGTACCGAAGAATGTGCGGGTGCCATGCGAGCCGTCCCCATGGGGCATTCGGTCGAGTTCCCTATGGGGCCACGAAACGCGAGCGGGCGTGTGCCGACAGGGGAGCGGCTACGCCACGCGAGCCCCTCCACTCGGATATTCGTGGAACTCCCATAGGGGGCCGGTGGAGCCCCTGTATGGGGCCAGGAACGTGTGAAAGGAATGCCGAAATGGGCGCCGTGCGAACCCCCCTCCCACTGGGGCCTTCGGCGGAGCTCCCGATGAGGCCACGAAGCGTGCCCCGAAATGGGCGCAGTGGCGCCATGCGAGCCCTCCAATTGGGGTTTTCGGTGGAGCCCCCTGTGGAGTCAAGGAGCGCGCGAAGGGTGTACAGACATGGGCGCGGTGGCGCCATGCGAACCCTCCCACTGGGGCCTTCGATGGACTTCCTGTGGAGCCACGGAGCGCGTGAAGGATGTGCCGACATGGGCGCGGTGGCGCCATGCGAACCTCCAGCCCTCTATATGGAGTCACTGAAGCTCCCTATCAAACAATGGCAAACATCCCTTCAAATTGCGAACGTGCCACGTTCAACGCGAGCCGCATCACTTAGCAGAGCAGTATCCTTGGCGGCATAATAGTTCCTGCACCCTCGACCGCGGCTCGCGGCCAACGACGACGAGGAAATCCTCGTGGAACTGTCGCGGGGCCAAGCAAGAAATTGTGAATTTGCATGGCGTCGTCAAACTTCTAGCGTCGGAACTCCGTGGGCCCACCGTCGAACCACGCAAGAACCTGGTAACTCAATGCAGTTTCGTTGATCTACAACGTCGGAACCATCGTGGAATGAAATTGGAAGCAAGCTGGACCCCTGCAATTTCAGAAAACTTCGTAGATTAGCACCGCTGGAACCATGGCGGAACCAAACTGGAACCAAGCAGGGGCCCTGTAAATTCAGAAGGTTTCGTGAACTTGCATCGTCGGAGCCATCGTGGAACCCCAAACAAGCACCAAGCAGGAACCTTGTGAATGCAAACGGTTGCGTTTTGAGCTTAAAAGGTTTCGTAAAATCTGCATCGTCGGAACGAACCATCGTGGAACCAAGCCACCCTCGGACGCCAGACCATGTAAAACGACAGGGCGGGTGCGCTGGCCCATCCGCGCCGCTCCGCCCTGGATCGGAGGAGGTGGGGGGCCGCCTGGGCCCGAGCACCCCCCGCAATCGAAGACAGCGGTGCATGGCAATGAAATTGAAGTGTGTTCCTTGCTCGGCGTGTCGCGGCCCCGCTCCGCAGCCGCTCGGGTGCAAGCCGTCTGGGCTCGAGCACGCCCCTGGCTCAGGCGCGCGCCCCAGCACGGCGCGGATAGAGTCCGCCGCAGCGCGGCGGCGGCGGCGGCGGCGGCGGCAGCGCGCAGCCGTCGTGCCGCTGGCGCCGCGGCACACCCTGGCCTGCCGCCGCGCTCGGGCCCGCGGCCCGCCGGCGCCGCGGCCGCCGGCTGGGCCAGCGCGCCCCCAACCCGCGCCGCCGCCGCGGCGGCCGCGGCCTCCGCGGCTGCCGAGGCCGTCGCCGCGGCGACAGCCGCCACCGCGGCGCGTGCCGCCGCCTTCTCGCCTGCCGCCGCCGCCGCCGGCGTTGCGGCAGCGGCTGCGGCCGCGGCGGCCCGTGCTGCCACGGCGCTCGCTGGCCCTGCGGCCGCGGCCGCCGTCCTGGGGCCTGCGAATGCGGAAGAACTGATGGAGGTGGCGGCGGAGCTGGGCGTGCGGGTCCTGGTGGGCTTATGGGACCCTGCTGGATCCCCGGCGCCGTTGATGCAACTGTTGGGAAGCATGCCGGGGTTGAACGCAGTTGCGGAGGCGAGACGGTGCTTCCCAGGGCCGCGAGTCGGCCAATAGCACGTCCTTGAGACATACTTTGCCATGGGCCCTGAGCCCATAAGAATGCATGCCTCTGAGGCGCAGGAGACGTCCTCCCCGTGAGCTACACCATGTGCATCGTCAACGATGGTTTTACAGAACGCCTGGGTGGCTTACGCGCTGCCGCTGATGCGGCCCTTTTTCAACAGCGAGGCTTACAGTTGATCCCTCCACAGAGTAACGCTTACAACGA